TATCTGATGGTGGGTTTTATCCGCTGCCAGACAAATGTCAGAAGTACCGTTCTCCGAGCACAATCACTTTGGCTCCAGAGCCAACTTTACCTCCGTCTTCCGTCTTTTTCCCAACCGACTCCCCTTCATTCCCATCTGGATTGTGAAGAGTGAGATATCTGCAATACAGCAGCTGTCAGTCAAAGTGTGAGATAGGAGACAAAGACGGAGACAGAGAGAGACAGAGAGAGACAGAGAGAGAGAGAGAGAGAGAGAGAGAGCTCATCTCTGGGGTGAAATGTTTTACCACTTACTTCATATTCTTAATTTTGATTCTTCACAACTGTCCGTTCTCCTAACAAACATCAGGTTGTATTTTGTATGCACAGCATTGTGCTGCTCATAAATTACACCCTGAAGGCCTGGGCACCGATGAGTAAGGTCATGACAGAGAAAACAATGGAGACAAATGGTTTTTGTTCATCATGACATCAGGTGGTAAGCAAGAAAAGATGAGTGGAGTTTGTCGAGGAAAAGAGAATGGCTGCCCTGAAGACATTGACTGAGTGCTGCACAGTATTCGCTCAACACACGTTTATTTATAGTATTTGCTGTGGCACATTGAATACTTGTAGGATGGATAGACCATGACCCCAGGTTACCTCAGGTCACAGCTGCTCTGAATAACAATATCTAGACATTGACTGGCAAAAACCTGAAATAAAAAAAAAAAACCCTAATGTAAATTAATTAATAAGAAATGTCAATAAAATTTTCATGGTCTTGACTTTTTTTATGGGAGAACTCTACCACTCTCTGCCCATATGGAATTAATTATTGCTGCTTGACTGCCATGCCTGCTGTTTAGATTGTGTTATAGTGATATCTGGCAAAAAAATAATAGTATCAGACATCAGCAACTGTGTAATGTAAGGCAGACTCAGTCTTTTATCTAATAGGAATTGGAATACACTGTATCTGGAAACCAAAGTCAAAATAAAAGAGAGGATGATGCTGGTGTTTCCCAGGTTGACTTAGCACTGCACCACTTTATCAAATTTGTTAGTAGTAATTACTGAATTGCTGAGGTAATATTTTGGTCTGCAGTAGTGATTGACAAGCCCTGATCTTGACCCTTGACCCTTTTCACATTTCACATTTACTAGCCTCTGTAGAACTAGAGGTTAAATGTTCTCTGCTGATTAGTTTCTTAACCCTTCATTAACCATATGAGAGTCACTGTCTGTGCTTTAATCCTAATTTTTAGCCTCAGATCAGACATTGATACATTAGTCAGTGTCAATGCCGTCAGTGTTGGTTGCTTCCTCCCTGGAGAGAGAATAAAAACTGTTTCCAGTCTTGTTTCCTTGACTTTTCATAGACATATAAAGAAATTTTCAGAACAATGTAAAAAAAAAAAGCTTTTTTACATAAGATCATTTTGGATATTATCATGCGTATTCCCACTTGTATCACATCATCTAAGAAGATATAAGTGTTGAGAAAGTGTTTTTTTTTTCTTTGTTAGAAGTTCTGGTCTGCAACACAGAAATACACGTTTGTATCAGGAACACAGACGAGCCACGTCCGAGAGAAAAGTAAAAGTAGAAACATTGCACTTGAGCTGTTCCACCAGGGCAGACAAGTGCAACACCCCAAGACAGAGGCTAAGTAGGAGCAACTTGGCCCACACTCAGGTTTTGGGAGCCAGGGTGCTTAATCATCCTGAGCTTGTTGCCCGTTTTGACAGGTGAATTATGAGCGAGTGCCACAGGTAGAGAGCCGTCTTCCCACCGCTCACTGTGACCTTCACTCCAGCCGTATATAACACAGGGATCATAAAACACTGATTTAGGATAACTGTGCAGAGCCCATCTTGGTGTGGGATCATCGTGGACAGCTAAGGTGGAGTCGTACTCACGAGGTGAAGGACAGTGACACTGCAGGGAAACTACTATATCTGGGCCTTGGCTATATGCTGTGACACTGCTGTTGAATTTTGGTATCAAGACAACATTTTGGCCCGATGTACTTTTCATCAGTCTGCCAAGGTTGGACTCAGAACTGTCTGGGTCCCAGCCATTATCGGATGACATTAGGATATTTTTTCTCCATCCTGTCAAAACCCATTGCTACATTTGTCCTCTAAGAATCTGAGCATTGTAATTATTACCTGTGTGGTGGCTACGTGAGGAGGTTTTTATATCCTGTCTCCACATTCTCATATTGGGACCAGAGGAGAATTTTAACCTGGGAGAAAAGTGCCAAGATGTCACAAATACCACTGTTCAAAAACCACTGAATAATAACAATAATCTTAATAAATACAAACACACAAATATATATCCGTGCTCCTGTTTAACAGTGGATATTCTTGATATACTTGAGTGCAGCATCATTTCTCTGTTTTAACAGCGATGTTTGTCACCTTATGTAGGGACAGTGAGTGGGGTCACAATGAATCTGATGGGGTCATGTCTCCTCGACCCTAGTCCCATCTGCGCCCATGATTAGGACGATGCTAACAGGCCTGTCTGTGGGATGTTGGAAGATCAACTGGACAGTACCAGGACTTTACTGCACAGAAATACTAATGTGTAAATTTCCACATGAGGTTGACACATCAGTGAAACAACAGTAATTGTGACATGTTCAGTAGCTTCTCCTTAAAACAAGTTCTGCCAAACAAAAGCTGTTAAAAATGTCATAATTAGTATTTTCTGGTGACAGGAATGAGACGTTTTTTTGTCCATTACTTGACTCAGTGGAGCAGTGTGATCACTGGACTGGTTCTCTCCTCATGTTAGAGGGATACACCCACTGTAGCCACGGTAACAAAACCAGGGATCGGGCTCAAAAACTCATTCGAGGTTTTAACTGCTAAATAAATCAACCCTGTATGAAGAGGGCAGTATAAAAAGTTTTCAGGAATTGCTCTTTATTTCTTTAAATTTATTATTTAGAGTTTCCACGGTGCTATAGCAAATCCCAGAGAACATTGTTGTCTGTGGAACATAAGCTTATATATAGACTTAACGTCACTTAGATCATCATCTGCTCTCAATTAGAGGGGAGTTACTTTAATTAAGGTACTCATTAAGTAAGTTCATTAATCCTCCCACAGGTGCCACCGACTCTCTGGAGATTTTAAATCAATTCTGATTCCCTTTATTTAATGTCAGAACAGTAATTTAGTTTAAAGGCTGTTTTGCGTGAAGCTCCATAAAGACAGAGGGACTGTAGCATGTCGCCCGTAATCCTGTCAGCACGCTGCTTAACTCTGACCACTGCTTATCATTTCCCTGCGCCGCCTGCATATTGCAGCTGCCAGCCCTCCAGCCGTATATGCTAACTGTCACACTGACACTTCCCCGGGTTGATGTATACAGGATGCAATCAATCAGTGCCATGACATTGCAGGTCCCCTTCAATATGACACATTTGACGGACACCCTGTCCAATAATGCCATGCTGTAACTTGCTTGTTATCACAGGTAGGGTTGCATGTGTGTATATACAGCAGCATTGTGACCACGGGGGAGTGTGCAGCAGTAACAGCGGCAGGAACATGATCATTCTCCCGCTCACACGTTCTGAAGGGCTTCGCGATCGTCATACCTGCTTAGTGAATAGTCAGGAGATCGCCGTAGCTGCTCAGGCTCAAAAAGCTGTGTGATGGATGCAAAGAGTTGGAAAGACACTGTAGGACAAAGTGTTGGCTCGTTCCATCGATCATTCATGCAGAGAGGATGACAGAATCACTTTCTCTTTCCATTCTCTCTCTCTCTCTCTCCACCAGCAGGCAGGCCAGTTTATCAGCGTTGGCCAGAATATTTAACAGGGACTTGAGCACACCCGGGGGATCTCATTTGCACAGGTGTCCATCTGGTCGAAGTTGTCTGAAATAATCTCCACATCATGTCACATTTGCAAACCCTCCTCCCCCCCATGAAAATGACACACTTGGCTATGGAGCTGTCCGGTGCTGAAAAGGCCAGTGGACTGTGCTTGGAGTGACATCCAGCATTTGTTGCGCTAATCCCCAAAATCACTAATGCTGTGCAATTATGTAAGGATTTAACATGTTGGTAATTGTTTGTTTGTTCAGCTCAGTTTATGTAACCAGCTTTGGGAGGACAATTAGCCTGTGATTTGGCAAAACACTCCCAGTTTGTTTTTGTTTTTTTTTCCAACCCCGTCGGGATTAACTGCGGCCAGGCCAGCGTGCATGTCAGCTCTGACAGTCCTATTAGCCTGTGAAGACTGGCAGCAAAGAAAAGTTTATTTTCTTGAATGGATCAATTGTTGAAAATCCTTTGTCTTTCAGTTCTCCCGTTCAAACTGTACATTCTCTGTGAATGAATGTGTTCATTAATTCTAAGGTTTTGTTAAGATTTACTCAAGCAGCAGATCCAATCTGTGAAATTAGGAGAGTAGGAGGATGATTGTAAAGCCTTCACACCTGTGCCCTCCTTACATGGTTATAAATTTACGACAGCAAGTCACCGCAGGGACACAATAATATATGTAATATCAAGCTTAAAAACAGGCAGTGTTTATTCCATCATGGATGGCTGCTCTTGAATGAACCTGCAGCCCCTGAACATTCCAAGTAATCTTGTGTTTTACACCTCCTTACCTTTGTGTTAGAAATTCTATCTTTTATGTATATGAACTGAGCAGTTACAGTGGTGCTGGATGTGGAAAGTAATTTTCTGCCAGCTCACACTGTATCTGCTCCACACGTGAAAACAAAAGACTCAATCAATCTTCGGCTTCTGTAGACATTTCAAGGCGTCACTCCATATCATCACACGCATGCCTGCATCTTATACACACTGTTCAAGTGAGAGCGAAAAAAGGCTGTTTATGCTAAAAACTTACAGTTTATGTAAACGTGAGGAATTTATTCTCCAGAAAATTGAATAATTTTCATTTCAAAGAAAAAAAAATCACTTGAGCATGAAAATGCCTCCATCACGCCACAGTCTGATTTATCGATTACATTTGTGTTTGTGCAGAAATTCAACATACTGCATGAAGGTCTCCATGTCTCTGACGGTGGCGGAGAACGACACCGACCTCTGCTACAACTCCAAAATGAGGTTCTTTGAAAAAGCCGCACTAAGCAAAAGCAAAAACATCACCTGCCCTGCTATTGAGGATTACATACAGCAGGGGGCGGAGCCTGACATTGTGTGGTATAAGGTGAAATGTTTTTCCTTCTATTTATTTCATTAAACTCAGAAAGAAAACAACTTTTTATCCCTAATGCTGCATTTGTTCTGAATAAAGGAATGTAAACCAAAGCTGTGGAGGCAGAGCATAGAGAGACGGAGGGACACGCTCTCCATCGGTGACGTACAGGAAGATGACATAGGGAATTATACGTGCGAATTACAGGTCGGGAATTTTGTCGTGCGGAGGACAACAGAGCTATCAGTCACAGGTAAGAGATAAGCAACAATTTATCTGCACTGCACCTTGTACTCCCTCAAGTGCTGATGCGTGTGTAAGACGCTCCTTCTGCGCTGCATGTGAAGCGGCTGTGTTTGTAGATCTTGTAGTGTAGCACGGTGGTGATCCTTACACCAGTGGACGTCTCTGCCAGTCCCAGTCTGATCCAATTGCTCAACAGAATAATACAATGCAGCTGTTTTTCTGAGGGATCTTGGAATATCAGGCCTACGTGGTCTGAGGTCATACCATACAGAGCCTCCAGATGCTAAGCCATCTTGTCACATTCACATGCGCAAGGAAATTCACCATTTAATCTGAATACAACTCCAATACCTGCAGTACATGTGCCTGGCCTGTATGTGGCGTTGTGTCACCCCCGCTCTAACGGGTTCAGAAAACCGTGAGAATAATAATGGCTTATGTTATTACACCAAAGTGGAGTTAGCTGTAGCACACCAAGTAGCCAAATTGGCATTCAGTTGACCCTATGTTTTGATTTTGTAGATTTGTGGTTTTTAAATGAGAGTTACTTTTCCTTTGTCGGGGAAAAAGCACGATGATTTGAATCAGTTTAAACGTTTGTAAAACTATTGAAATCGACTAGATAGATCTGAGCTACACTCAGTGTGTCCCGTCTGTGTCATCCCGTAAAGGAAACTTGTAAAGTGCAGCTCATATGTACGTATTGTCCAACAACTAAATTCAATAACTGACATGTTGAATGTCCAACCACCAAATCCATGGGCTCCAAACAGGTGTGGTGTCTGTTTCCTTCTCCCCTGATTATGTTTTTTCTGTCTCTTAAAAGCGACAAAGACAGTGGGTGAAGACTGGGTTCAGCCATAAAAATAATAATCTTTCAAAATGTCAGCCAGCAGAAACAGCCTCTATCTCTCCATCTGCTTTAGAGACATTAACCTTTTCAGAATAAGGGAGGGAGATGAGAAATGATTGTGTCACAGTTGACAGAGCAAACCTTTCCCTTCTGTTTAATCTACATGTGTGTTAGTCCACCATGTGATTTCTGTCTCATGTCTTTGTTCAATTGAGACTTTCTTTCATAAACGTTTTCACCACATCGCCTTTTGTACTTGTTGGTTCCACGGTGCTTAATCAGTTTTTGGATATTTATAAACAACCTGCCTTTAAAATCACTCAAAACCAAGTTTAGCTTTGAGACATAAAATACATTTGGAGTCTGGAAAAAAATGGAGCAAAATATATTTTAAAATTGTCAAGTTAAACGGACGTCTGTTCCAATCTTTTAATTTCAGAGGTGTTTGTAAAACCATTCTGTTTAAGGTGATTTTGAGTAATTGTTAAATTAAAAAAAATAATTAAAAAAAAAGGAAAATCTTTTGAAATCACTTTTTAATTAATCACAAGGAGGGGAAAAAACAATTCCTCTTTGAACTTTCTCTAATGAACCTTTTTATATTATTTTTAAAAATCTGCTGGAACACCAGCAAAACTTGTTAATATAATTAATGTATTATACATATATATGATCCAGTTTTTTCCCTGTTAAAATAGAATTTCAATATAAATTCCATTTAATTGAAACTGCTTTTTTGTTCTGTATGTACTTTTTAAAATTTTTAACGTTAAACTAAAACATTGCTGTTTACACTCATTGACATCTTTTCTTTATTTTTCTCCTTTAATCCTCTGCCTCGTCATATAATTCAATGTTCCACAAATAGACGTGTGTGGTTCAGCCCAGACCTTTCTGCCTGCATGATTAATCCAGTTTTTTTTACTCTTTGTTATTTTCTGGATGTGAAACTTTATGTTATTTTAGCATCAACCTCCCACAGAGAATTGAAATTGATCATCAAACATCTCTGCTCACAGTAAACAGCCTGCAGGTCTTCACAAAGCAGTGCACCGAAGGTCAGACTTCCTGTGATTATAATGAGCCTGGCTTAAATCATAATGAGGTTCCTCACAGGCTGATGGGAGCGGAACCTGGTTTGAACACCACTTCTTTATAAAACTCCGCTTTTCTGTTGGGTCAGACTGAAGGAGCAGTGATACACAGATACACGTGTTAGATACACTCTCAGTGCAGCTAATGAGCCGGGACTAATGACGTTAACCTACCATTTCCTGCTTCATACCTGCACGTGCTCCAATGAGGAGGCAGGTGTTAATAAATGAACAGACTGAGGGCTGGTAACATTCCAGCATTGAAGAATCGCTGATTGGTTTCCTTCCATCTCCCTCCGAAGGACATGTGGACTAAGTTAAGTCTAGCTTTGATTTGGATTGAATTTCAAATTTGTACATTTTATTTTGAAAAACAACAATGTATTGGGGATTTACACTAAAATCTCGGATAGTTTTACAGCAATGTTGACTGCAAATGATCAGGCGTCCTGAGTTAGTGTTCACTTGTGATGAGGTATGATGAATGACAGACAATTATTATGTCTATGTTCTCCAAGCCTCTGATCAAAGCTGGTGAACTTGAATACTTCAAACAAGAACAAAGCTGTGGACGTGGACCTTCGGAGGGGCACCAAGAGCCCCGTGGCGGGCTCATAAGAGAAGAAGAAAGATAAACGATAAAAATAATAATTATGTTTTTATTATTTGTCCTGGAAAGTTAAACACGTAAACTGCCCTAATTGTCGGATTCTCAAGGGTCAGATTGTACCTGAACACACCTCATGTGAGAGCTGACGATGTCATAATCTGTGTAAACCTGGCCACTGTGTAAAGCCTGTTATCAAGCTGCTCAGCTTCTCAAGCTAGCGTTTAGCTAGCTAGTATTCAGTCAATTTTTAGTAGGAAAATTCAGTGCTAAACAAATGTAAGGATTATTAAATAGTAAATAAAAGTAAAAATAGTTGAAGTTTTGGCAGAGAGTTGCAGGAAGTAATTACAAAGTATAAATATGCATTTTCAGATGTAATATTTTTACTTATACATGAGTACAGACTTTTTTCATACTTCAAAATTACATTGTGGACTCTGTTCAGTGATCAGTCGTGACTTTACTTCCATGACTCACCAGGTTTTATTACTGGTTACCAAAATACTGTATATTCAGGTTTGGATTTTGGGCCCACATAAAAGTGACTCACTTCAGTTTGGAAAGTGGCGATAAAGCAGTAGCTGATGAGTATCAGTGGATGCTGTCTGTTTGTTTCCACCTGTACCAAAAGTCGTCTTTTTCTGAAACGTAATCTGAGCTTTTACAAACAGAATGTTTGAAACAGCAGTGATGAGAAAACAGAGTTTATTTCTTCACACATTCCCAGGTCTCTCTGTGGACATTTTATTGGCATCATTGCTGTTGCGCTGTTTTTAATACATGCAAACCTGTCACCATGATGAATGCTGTTGCTGCGGAAACATATTGATTCTTTATACTTCCATTGTTCCTCCGAAGCAGCTTTCAGCTTCAATTTTGCTGACTAAAAAAATAAACCTAATATTTGTGTTTGGTGGCAGCTTCTGCAGTGAACAGGTCTGCTTTAATCACTGTCAAAATATCCAGTGTAATCTGAGCCACTGAACAATAATCTTCTTTGTTCCTGTTAATTCTCATCAACCGTTCGTTCCTTCAGTTTGCTGTGACATCTGGGCCTCTCCTACTTCTTCACTTCTGCGGACTTTATCTCCTGCCAGCACCATTTTGTGGCCATTACCAATTTCCTCCCCAATCTCCGAGTTGACTCATTAGCATATGAAGGAGCTTGGAATATAATTGCTCCTTTAACTGATGGAAGATAATTAATCTGGCCAAGGTGCCGGCAGAGAGGAAGAAACTCCGGGCGGATTCAGAAACTAATCCTTTTTCTTTTTAAGGATCTGATACTTGGTGAACCCAGCAGGTGTTTGATGAGGGTTTTTAATTTTCCGCTTCTATTTTAATTCATTACCTTTGATATTTTGTCACTCTATTAGAGGACATACTTGTGAATACAAATGAAGGCTGTCATTATTCGGTGCATGTCTGCCGAGGTTCAAACCCATCACTCCCCGCTGTCTTTGATGGTGCTTCTCCAACTCTGTGGATCTTATTTGTGTGAAAGTTATTCATCATCGCTGCAGCCTCCTGTTGACTCCTTGAACTTTAATATCTTCTCCTCTGATTTTGATTTATACTGATGATGTCGGAGTTCTACTTCTGGAAACCCTGCATGTGGAAAAAGTTATTGATTCTCGCTAAGAATTCATATCCTTGGCCTTGCATAATGATCTCGTCACACAGGAGATATTTGCTGTGCTCACATCACAGCGGGGGATTGACTGGCTTAATTAAGTTTGTCGCTCAAACGTGTCACCGCTCTGGAGAAAGGTGACCATAGAATTTTATCAGAAACTCATAATTATTATTATTCATTATCTCAAGAATGTTAGAATATGATAGAGCTGTGCATGCGTTTATTTTACGTTATTGAGATCAGCCTCCTGTGGAAACAAATTTAATATTCCATGAATATATTTTGATTTCTCTTACATTTGTTTATTGATCTAAATTTAATAAAAGTTAAAGCACGTTGATTACATCCCTGACCCTGAAACCAGTAACAGAGAGTAGACAGCTCAATAATACACATGCAAATTTTTTTTGTGAAAGATCAACCCATATAAACTATCCATCCATTTTCATCCGCTGATCTGTTACCGGGTCGCGGGAGCAGCAGTCTCCATGACCACCACCCACATCACACTGCACCGTACCAACCCCCCTGAACCTTCCTGCAGGTGGTGAGTCCACTGGAAGGTACCAACCGCCCTGACTGGGATTTGATCTTGCCCCGGAGGTGAACCCTGGGGTTCCACACCAGTTACAGAGACATTGCCTCTGGGCTAAAGCGCCAGCCCATATAAACCGAAAGAACCAAATCTGAAATTTGCAAAATCATTTCAAAATGTAATCAGATTTTTCTGTCATACATCCAATCCATCACTGCTGCATGACAAAAATGGAAAGGACAGACATCAGGTCTCATCAGGTTCTTCCAGTGTAGTTCA